TCTTCTTTATGATGGCTTCTTCTTGGCCGGCTTTTCGCAAGTTTTACGCGACTCTTAGATCATAAGTACTTGGCAAGACTTTTGTCATTTCGCCACCACCTGATGGGTCTCTGTTGAGCAGTAGAAAGGTATTTTGAAGTAGGAAGAAGAGAAGAGGAAATAATATTGAGAAATTAGTAGAAGTAGTAAAATTATTTTGATAAAATTATTAAAATGGTAAGAAATGTTTCGGTCCATTAAGTCGTATACAGCACCAGCTAGTTGCCAGCGTTACCATTTTATTAATTCACGATGACCTTACAGCTGGTAACCCTTTTTCACATCATACGCAAAAAGTTGAAACTTCCTCCGTTTTTGCTCCCTGTGAGAGGTAAAGGCACCCAGAAAGTAGCTCCAGTGATAGCAAGTGCTAAAAGTAATCACCGGCTTTCATGACTGTCGATGGCTCTCTCTCTCTCTCTGTCGAAAATTACTTGAAATTGAGCTGGTAGCAGGTTTGTCGTCCTAGCACAAGCCCATCTCAGCGCGATGAATTATGACTTATCACGAAATAAACGGCGAATGAACAGGAAAAAGCCCAGCGCTGAATGCTTTTAGCCTTTGGCTCTAAGGAGTTGTAGCATATGAGTGTAACTATCCAGATGTTTCATTCATCCAAAGTCTGCGTGTGCGGGCTACAGTCTATAGAAAGTGCTAGACCTGTATAGGCGGTGAAACATTTGGTTTGGTTGCACTTTGGAGTCGGGTTGCCTGAGATCACAGCCCAAAGTGGGTGGTAAACCTTCTAGATTTTTTTGTGTTCTTTTTTTTTAAATTCAAATATTTTAGCAGCGAATCGAATTTCGATTGCAATAATCACGATTTTATTGAATGAAAGTAATTACGAGGAATATCGTTTGGCTCAAGAAACATTCCATTGCTATGCACTGTATCACGACTATCAATGGATTGTGATCAATTTGTCAGCAAATGATACGCTGCGAAGATTGTGCCCGCAAACAGATGTGAGTTTGAAGTTTCGTTCCAAATTAAAATTTCAATAAATTACCGTAAATAATTTTGTTTCTAAACTTGAGAATCACGAAAAAAATCATGCAAAATCTTACCTTCCGTAATTTTTTCCCTTTTTTTTCTGCTTTTTTTTCGTAAAAATTTCACAAATTTCCAAGCACTTCTTTTAGTTGGATTGATTTAGAATGAGGGAAGAAATTGAGGAAAGAAAAGCAATGGTCTATCTTAGTGACACTGACAAGCATCTCAGCATTTGCAGTTTTTTCAATTCAATTTTTAGTGATATTTTGTTGATACTGGACAGTTATAATTTTGCAATATGCGATTTTTTCGTACATTGCTATACTTATTTGACTTTGGTGTTGAATTTCGAAAATTTTTTCACGTATAAGAGATGTTTGGGAAACGACTGCTACAATAGCCATTCAGTTAGGCACTAAGTGATGCAGCTCAACTGCAGTTTTTATTACTGTCATTATTATTATTGTCGTTATTATTATTATTGTTATCATTATTATTACTATTATCATTATTATTATTATCATTATTATTATCATTGTTATTACTATTATCACTATTACTGCTATTGTTGTTATTATTGTTATCACTATTATTATTATTATTACTATTATTATTATCACTATTATTATTATTACTATTATTATTGTTATTGTTGTTGTTATTATTATTATTATTATTATTATTATTATTATTATTATTATTATTAACATTAATAATAATATTACCACTGAAAGTTCGCCAGCAATACCGATAGCGCGAAGATAGGTTATGATGAAAAGACGGCTACTGTTATTAGTATTACTGGTGATTTTGTTATAACTTTTATTATTATCGTTACTATTGTTGTTATTTTTTTTATTATTATTACAATTATTATTGCAATTATTATCACTGCAATTATTATTACTGTCACAGTTATTATTGTCACAATTATTATTGTTGCAATTATTGTTATTGTTGCAATTACTATTATTATTTTGATTGCTGTTACCGTTTTCGCTTTATTATTGTCACCATTATTACAGTTATAATTTCATTACTGTTATTACTATTACTACTAACATGATTGTGTATGCCAATAGTGAATTGGAATAGTCCAGTTGGTCTGAAGATGAAAGGAAATATCATTCACAAAACTAAAGGGGATAAAAGATACGAAAGAAGTTTGAAATAGCCGACGAGATGGATGTTTTAGTGCTCTGTACTAGGTAATATGAATAATTAGGTAAGTAATTAGCCAGTGTATAAATTCGTCGTTACTTATTATTATCATTATTATTTTTGTTGTTATTATCATTATTATTATTATTATTATTATCATTATTATTATTTCCATTGTTATTAATATCATCGTTGTTATTATTTTTATTATCGTGGCAATTTTCAGTTTATGTTTGCTCGGCACTGTGTAACTGCTCGGATAATGGAAGAAAGAAGTGGCATACAATGGTTTTTGTTCATTGATGCTGATATGGGTGTTGTCAATCCGAATCATCTGATCGAAAAGTGGATCGATAATTCTGTAAATATCATTTTTTACAATCGAATATTCAATCACGAAATTATGGCTGGAAGTTATTTAGCAAAGTTAGTTGCATTTTTTCTAGAAAATTATAAGAAAAAATCGCGAAATTCTACAGTAGTGAATAATAAAGGGTTTTTAAAAAAAGAACGACACTTGAAACTAATACATGTGAGAAAAAAGAGTCAAAAAACTATCAAAATTAGAACATGTGGAGAAGAACCTGGCAGTCCTAGGGTGCTAAGAGCCTGTATCTGTCGATGTGAACTTATAAAAACTTGAAACTAACACATGTGAAGAAGCAACGTTCCTAGCACCAAACTTCTAAAATGTGTTTTTGAACTAGTTTTGATCAGCCTGTTACTGTTCAAGTATAAAAAATATGTTTTCAAGAAAACTGTGGTTTTTTGGGAGCTAAATTCCGAACTGCAATTATTATAGATCAAGTGTAAAGTGATTTTCCTGTAAACTGATCATGAAGAAAGGGTGCCTCACTTTGTTTTGTAAAAACTTTTGTGGCTACATTTTTTTGGTCCAAAAAATTTTAAAAGTTTGAATTTTACCAACTCCTGTGACAATTCCTGCAGGAATACGGTGTATTCACAGAATTTTCTTCGATTCTGGGCTGAATATGAAACGAGGCTGCCAAATTCAGTTCACGGCTCAGACAACGGAGCAATTCATGTAAGAAAAATTCATTCTTGTCAGGTTTCTCGGGGTTTTTTTTCTGATTGCTGAAGAATTTTTTCAAATTTCTGTAGAAAACCAAGAAATTGCCAGACAATGCGATTGTCCTGTTGATTTTAGCTGTCGATCTTCCCTAATTTGTGAACCGTTTGCGGTTTTTTTATAAGAATTTAAAAAAAAAAAACGTTTTGAAGCACGTTTGGCTTCGGACTGCGAAATTTGCCTCTCCTGGCCCTAA